AAAAAAAAAAAAAAACGAGAAAGAACAAATAACATAGAATTAAGTTGAAACCCAATAAAATAAATATCTATGAGTCTAAACTGGTATAAATAATGATTGAATGACTGACTAAATAAATAAATAAGACAGACAAATCTTCCTTATAGAAGAGTTCCGCGTAATTCACGCTGGTTCTCACCGCCAGCAGGTGGTTAATTCCAAATCCAGGCTTTGAATGTACGGTGGACCCAGTGGCAAACCTTCCAAAGAAAGGAAGCATAGAAAGGGTTAAAAAAAGAAGAGGAGGAAACAGAAATTTTACAGTGGAGAAACCCAGCAAACACTACTGTAACCACGTTGACATCATCAGTGAAAACACAGACCCAGGGCAGTAGGAACTTGTTGCTGGAATTTAAGGTCAGGTATCAGCAAACACTTGTACAGGGATTCAGTGGGTATCAGCCACCGCTCTCGGTGCTGTGCTCATGTTTAATTGTTTAACAGTTATAACAACCCCTTGAGGTGGGTACCACTGCTATCCCATTTTACAGATTTGAACACCGAGGCAACAGGGAGATTAAATGACCTGCCAGAGCCATCTGGCTCATGCAAGGCAGGGGAAGGAATCAAGCCCAGGCAGTATTGGTCCCATGAAACGGAGCCCCTAATAAAATGCTTTCCTGGGGTGCCTGGGTGGCGCAGTCGGTTAAGCGTCCGACTTCAGCCAGGTCACGATCTCGCGGTCCGGGAGTTCGAGCCCCGCGTCAGGCTCTGGGCTGATGGCTCAGAGCCTGGAGCCTGTTTCCGATTCTGTGTCTCCCTCTCTCTCTGCCCCTCCCCCGTTCATGCTCTGTCTCTCTCTGTCCCAAAAATAAACGTTGAAAAAAAAAATTTTAAAAAAAAATGCTTTCCTGGGGCCGCTTGGATGGCTCAGTGTATAAGGCATGCCAGTCTTTTTTTTTAATTTTTAAAAAATATATTCATATATTTTTAAGAGAAAGAGAGAGAGACGCAGCATGAGCAGGGAAGGAGCAGAGAGAGAGGGAGACGCAGAATCTGAAGCAGGCTCCAGGCTCTGAGCTGTCAGCACAGAGCCCGACGCGGGGCTCGAACTCACGAACCGTGAGATCATGACCTGAGCCGAAGTTGGACGCTCAACCGATTGAGCCCCCCAGGCACCCCTGGACCATGCCACTCTTGAACTCAGGGTCGTGAGTTCAAGCCCCACGTTGGGTTTTAGAGATTACTTTTTTTTTTTTTTCAACGTTTATTTATTTTTGGGATACAGAGAGACAGAGCATGAACGGGGGAGGGGCAGAGAGAGAGGGAGACACAGAATTGGAAACAGGCTCCAGGCTCTGAGCCATCAGCCCAGAGCCTGACGCGGGGCTCGAACTCACGGACCGCGAGATCATGACCTGGCTGAAGTCGGACGCTTAACCGACTGCGCCACCCAGGCGCCCCTAGAGATTACTTTTAAAAAAACGTTTGGGGCACCTGGGTGGCTCAGTTGGTTAAGCATCTGACTCTTGGTTTTGGCTCAGGTCATGATCTCCCAGTTTGTGAGTTCTAGTCCTGTGCTGGGCTCTGCACTGACAGTGTGGAGCCTGCTTGGGATTCTCTCTCCCTCTCTCTGCCCCTCTCCTGCTCATGCTCTCTCTCTCTCTCAAAATAAAACGAATAAACTTTAAAACATGCATTTCCATTTGCCACCCTCAACTGCCAAGGCAGGACATTCTCCCTCTCTCTGCCATGTTGGGCACCTCCCTAGATACGATCTGAGAAGCATTGGTTCTGGAGAAACTGAGGCCACATAACCTTCCCATGTTTCCAAATACGTCGGTGCCATTTCCTGTTCTGTGCCAGGCTGGGCATGGGGCCACAGAGGTGAATCAGGCCCCTCTCTTTCCTCAGAAAGAAGAGAGTTCTCAGTTAGATGCAGGCAGGGGCGGC